ATAATCTACCTTGTTTCATAGATGAGATAATCTACCCGAGCTTCTGAAAAAAGTATTGTAAAACGTATAAAAAAAAACCTTAATTAATTGTGTAACGATCTACAAAATCGGGGCACTCGGGACGTTCTTACCTGTATGTTGGTCTACGGGTGACCCGCGGGCTGACCCACCCGCCCTCACCCGAGTGGTGATATTTCAACCCGGGTTACCCGCCCACCCGGGTCAAAACACTACTATAATACTGATGATCCATTTTATTGACAGAAATAATTTTCCCGAAATATCATTTAATAATACCAAATTTTCCGACAAGTCATTTATTTGAAACCATTTCTCCGAACTAAAGAATGATAGACGATGGAAAAAAAGCATTCGGCGAAATGGACTGTCAGAAGTGTGGCTTGTCAGAAAATAAGGGTTGTATTAAGGGGTGAGAGAGATGATACTTCGGGAAAGTGGATTTTGGAAATTGTGCAATAACGATAGGGACACATTCGGCAAAGTTACTTCGGGAAAGTGGATTTTGGAAATTGTGCAATAACGATAGGGACACATTCGGCAAAGTTTCCAGAAAAGCCAGTAAAATTTCCAGGGTTTTTTTTTAATAAATCAAGAATAAATAACTATTTTTAAATATATAAAGTGTTTTTATTCATCAGTATCAATATAAAAAAAACAATGTCCAAAAATACTACTGTATTTATAGAATATCCATATTTAGTTTTACTACAATAACCACAATATATTCCTTTAATGGATGCACACAATTTTATCTGATTCAGTTTTTACCAATTTAATAAATTCTCCTGCTTTAGATATCATCTCTGAACTCAGAAACATATTCGAAGATAGCAAAACTTTTTTAACAACTTTTCTATGACGATTTGCATTTAAAATAGTATTTAGATGATGATCTGTGAAACAATGAGATCCTCCTGTAAGGTCGAGTTTAAACACGGGACTTTTACCCCTTGAAACATCATGATTACCTAGAAATATCTCCAATGAGACACAAGTAAAGTTCCATAGTTTCCCTTGCAGAGCAAAGCATCTTAAAGTAGCAGGTAACCCATTCTTTCCTAACGTCTCCAGCATATTATTTGTTTCAAACACGCTTAATGATTTCTCAGAACTCTCTACTTGACACAATATAACAGTTTCTAGATATGAACAATTTTTAAATAGTTCAATCACTTGAGGTATTTGCTCCTTACTATCTATATTAGTTTTGAAAAATGTCAAATTATGAAATCTCGAAGCTATAAATCCAATAGTGTTCATATTAACAACACCATCCAAATTCGGTGTATAAGATAATCTTCCTAAATTTATCGAAGTTAAATTAAAACTACATGCATCAATAATAATTTCAGCAATTTTTACAGGAATAGGTACTTCGTTAAAATGTAAATTTGAAAGTTTTGATAGATTAATCATTAAATCCAAAGAGAAATCTGTTCGAGTAGAATAACAATTTTGAAATTGTAAAGTGTCCAAATTTGTTAATGGAGTTAAATAATTTAATATATAACTTAAATCAATACCAGTAAAATGTAATATACGTAAAGTATCCACTTGAGATTTTAAAGTTGTCATTATATTTCCTAATCCATTCGAACAATATTGTAATTCAAAATGAACCAATCCTCTTTGTGATTTAATTAATTTAGCTACTGATTCATGTTCAAAATTTCGAGAAGTTGGAGGTAAAGGAAGTGGCCAAGAATAAGCTATATCACAATCAACTCTTATGATTAAAGTCTTTATACAATGACAAATGCTCGCTAGATTTAATAAAAAATTGGCCTTTCGATATCTTGTAGTGCAAACTAATTTAGTAAGTTTTGATAAACAATTATGTGAATCCAGACAAGTTGGAATCATTAAACAATCATCCACATTTAAATATTTTCTATTTGAAATAAAATTTTGATTTGCTAAAGTTAAAATATTAAGTCCAGATCTAGCACTGATTGAAAGATTGTCAATTGATCGAGAATGTTCCAAGAAAAATTTACACATAAACGTACCAAGCCAACGATATTCATCATTATTACTTGATGAATTTAAGTCATGTAAATTTTCACGAAAAAAAAAGTTTAAAACTAACGTACAATCTTCAGAAGACACCTTATTATTCAGTTGTTGGTTAATAGGAAGTCGTCTTCTAGAAACGCTATTAAACTTCGGAGTCAGTGGGAAACGACATGATACTCTTCCATTTACTTTAGAATCTTTATAATCGTAAATAGCCATGTATAATTCATAAAGATCAAGAAATTTTAAATATTGTACATAGTTAAACATTGGTGGTTTAATATATTGTGATATGATAGATTTTTCCACTAAAATGGACTTGTTTTGTTGAATGAGACAAGAAACATAAGTTTCAAGTAAATTAGTTGCTTGTAAATGTCGTTTTACTGAAGAATTTTCTTTACAAAAATATAATAGATGGAAAGGTTGTTTCCATAAGATACCGATTATATTATTACACCAAGTTCTGTTTACTAAAAGACAAGAATGTAATGATATACGATCATCTTGTATATTATAGAATATAAGTTGAAGACACTCTGGAGGAATGTAGTTACGCATAATTAACAGAATTAACTGGTGAAAGAGTTGATTATTAATTAAAAACAGATTTATTTATTATTTAAAGAATCTAATAACTCCGGGATTCTAATTAGGGTAATTCATATGGCATCGGTATTTTGAACTAAACATTTATGTTAGTAATGGAGATGTAAATCTTTACATAGATCGGTACCTCGTACTGTACTATGCATGAAAAAAAAAAAAAATTTATCGTGATTATAAATCTACGTATCAAATCTATATCCATAAAATTATAAGAAAATTTCAGTCTAAATCTTTCAAGTAAATTATTATCTATATATTTTATTTGTTTAAAACGAAATATTATTAACAAAATCTTTGAGTTACAAGTTTAACCAACCTTGAGTTCGGATAAACTATGGTTGTGTTACAAAAGTTATAATATTATATATATATAATTTTACGTAATCTTTAATAAAATCATCACAAGGACTAACTTTACAAAAGTTTTCTCCTACCGCTACGTATATATGTCCGATTGATATAAAAGTTAATTTAGGCGATTGGTTTAGTAACATTTGATTTAATATATGATCCGATTGTAATTAAAAATTTTTGTACATATCATGTGTTCAAGTTATACATTAAATCAATTTATGAAATTTACACAAAGTTTTATTTATAATATTACAACCCAGGGATAAACTAAAAGGCCAGTGTTGTACATACGTACGTTCTTTATGTCCGGACCTTTTTAGTCTATCCGACTCTCCTACGTATCGCAAAAATGCACTTATGAATGTCGCCAAGAGAAAACCTGAAATTCTTTAATTTTCGGAAACTCCGCTTTTAGTACAGACAATATCAAATTCTTGTAATTTGGTTCGAAAATGAAATTTCGGAAAAACTATCAATTCCAGGTTTTCCCTTGGCAGCACTCATATGTATGCAAAGGCTAGTTCTGAAGAAGTTTAAAATAGATTAAAATACAATAGAACATTATAATAAAATTTTAATATTATTTGGTGTTAAATTCAGTGTGAATTTTTCGGAGTTGTCCGAGTGATAATACTGTTCAAATGGTCCGGCCGAACCCGTAAATTAATAGTCTTTGTTTAAACAAATAAAATAAATTTTTATATAAGGGTTTCTAAGAATTTTTTTTTTTGTAACATTAATTTTCTAGCGAAGATTGCGTATAATATGTATTATTATACAAACATTATATTTGCCGTCATACGACGATCTCGAAAACATCGGATAAAAAAAAAAAACAATATATTTGCAAACCTTTAGAACTATTATTATTATTATTATTACATATTATTATTACTATATACTGTATATAAATAGTAACTATTAGAATTTGTTTAGGCTTGACTAGCAAAGTAATAATAATTTTTTCAATATATTATAAAAATTGTTATATAATTATGCAATTTATTAAAAAATAAACTATACATTTTTTGTTATAAGGTATAGTAAAATATATACTGTATTTTAAGTAAAATATTTTATATTTATTTTTTATATAAAAGAAGAATATTTTACTATAATATTTTAGTATCTTTTGGCAGAGGATAAAAACAACTTTTTTATGTAAATTTAATTATTTGAAATTATGTTAAGTATTAGTTATAATAACAATTTTAATACAATAATAAATTGTAATTAAACTTTTTAAAGTTGCAAATAAAACTAGTAGAATTGTAAATGCTAATAAAAAAACTAGTAAAACTAAAATACAGTTTAATAACCAATAAGAAGCTTAAATTAAATTATAATAACTCTCAAATTTAGATTTATTTACAACTCTATTATAGTTATAGATTTAGGTTTAAAATTTTAGCACATAAAATTGTTTATGTAGAAATTAAATTTATATATATATATATTTTTTATACAAGTTGATTTACTGTACAGTAATTATAAAGAAGGTATAACTATATAAAAAGCGGTTTAAAAAATACAAATTATGGATATATTTTTAAATAAAGTTGCAATTTAAGTAAAGCTTAAACAAAAGTAACAAAAGTTATATAAGGCAAATAAAATTAATTTTTTAGTTCTCATAACATAAAATTTTAAAAATGACCCGGCAACCGGCTTTTAATTTTATTTTCAAAAAATTTTATATGTAAAAAACATATAAAATTTTTTTACAAAAATTTAAAAAAGTTCACCCGGATAAATAAATATAGTAAAAAAATTTTCAAAATTTTGTTGAATTTGACCCGGCCGGGTTATGAGAACCAATTAATCTAGAAGATCTGCAATTTATTTTATTTTATTTTTTTAATGTTAAAGGTGAGACTATGCTCTTATTTTGATTAAACTTAATGAAAACTCTTTGCATAATTGGAAAAGGTTTTATATTTAAGCCTAGTACTAAGAATAAGAACTCAGACGTATAGCTAAAAATGCCCAATAGGAGCAAACCTAATGACTTATTTGTGGCATAAACCTAGGTTTATTTTCAAAAATTAGCAAATACAATATGTATTAAACTATTAATACTATATCAATACTATATTATTATATAACAATTCTAAATAACAGTAATAAAAATTTTGTTTAAAATTAAGCGTTAATTGAAATACATAGTAAGTGGTATTACAGTAAAAATATACATTTGTTAAATATTATTTTATGAGTATAAAAATATAGCTGGCTTAGACATAGAAACTTTTTATCAATATTGTATTTTATAGATAAATAACCTCAATATAGTAATGTAAAAAGCCACCTTAAGTTACTTAGCAGTCTTTACGCGTGTGCTAAACTAGTTACCACTATATTAAGAGGTTTATAGTACACCCACCACAGACTTATCAATGCGGTACTGCTGAAAAAAGCTAAAAAAGCCTTAGATAACAAAAACTTACACACATACGACACTGCCCTTACTGATGTTATACGCAAACAATTCTAAAATTCACATATGACCAAGCTTTTTTGTTTATTTATTTTTTATTTATAAAACATTAACATTAGCTGATATCAATATCTAACACGTCTTTTACACGTATAAATGAGAAATTAAGTATGTGTTTGCATTAGAAAGAATGGGCAGTCTGACACGTAGAAGTTGTAGAAGTTATAAAAAGAAGCATTATTTCCAAAAACAACAGATCACATGTTACAACGTATCATTACCGCTTATTTCAACAATGTTTAAGGGTTAGATTTTTTCACGTAGCACTCGCCTGGTCTTGAAATTTTGGCGTTTAAATGTTACGTTAGACTATCCCTTGTAAATACTACGCATAGGAGTGATTCAGAGCGTATCTCTACGGGAGAGTGTACAGATCTGATAACTGATAATGGATAAGGTATGTGCGTACGTACGTATGTACGGTACCTGGCATTAACTGTATATATTCACAAAATGGATCTATATAATAGGTTAATTAATATATAGGTTAATTGACATTCCTATAAGATAACGATTAGTAATGCATATTAACGACTAGTAATTCCAAATTTAGTATAGTTAATAAATTTATCTATACTTATGTAGCGCATATTACACATAAAAATTGCCAAATAAATCTTCATTCTGTTAACTAAAAAGAATTTCTTTCTATAATAAGATTAATAATTCTCACGAATTAGAAATCAGGAGCATAGTTCACACGAATTAAAATGCGCCGGATCAACCCAATAAAGATACATCTAAATTACACTAGGCATTTTTTGCTTAATCCAAAACCTTGTGTTTTACTCGCTTACGTTATTATAAAATTCCTAAAATTCAAATGGTGTAACAACTAGTGGCGCTAAATTAGTAGGTCATTGTTAAAAAGAACTCGAATAAAAGTCATGAGTACAAATTTTAAACCTCAGATAAAATAAATATTTGTGTTTTAACAGCTACTTTTTCGTAGGATGAGCCTATTCTTTTTAACGTTAGTGTAATTGTTGAATCATGCACAATTTTTTTCATATAGTATATCAGGAATTCTCACAATGAAATCAACAAGTTATTCATATGTACAAATTCTTCATTTGTAGCACTACTTTAAGGTTTGACTTACGGCTTTGTCAAAATTTAGAAATTACAGCCATAAGTGGGGGCATTTATGAATCTTGTAGTACTACTTAGAGTTTTAACAGCCTTGTTAATATTTGGAAATTGCAGCCATAATTAAGAAAACTTTTATGCATGATTAATAAAGAATTTCGGACGTAACTTACCACCTACACAGCTATATAAGAGCAATTCGCTTCGCGAAATTCTCTTTACAAGAATCCTTTTTTTTTTATTTGAAAAATGTAAAGAAATAATGAACCCCAAACGTTTATTTGCAAATCTAAATTCCTTGTTTAAAGGATGTGATTTGGATGAACGTACAGAAAAAAAAAAAAATGTATTTTTTATTGAAATTTTTTGAATGATTTACCAGAAAAGACAAATAATATAATTCCTTTTTGAATACTGATTCATTGAACAAAAAAAACCAAATTCATTTATTATACAAACCAGAAATCTGACTTTTTTGATTAGAAAAAAAAAATATGCTCCTAATGGAGCAACCATGCGTCGAGTAGACGCCTTGAATTTCTTTTGTTTAAAAGGCAATTTGCGTCAAGTAGACGTCTCGAATCCATTTTAATTAAAAAAAATTGGTTTTCGAAGATAGAAAATTTTATAATCCTAATGTGTAACTACCAGTTGCTCCATTGTGGCAATGGTACCTGCGTTGAGACCAAGAATGATAATAACGACAATTGTCGTATATGTTCAGCGATTTCACGACAGAATTTTTTTATCCAGAGATGGTAAAATGGCATTTGCCAAGATGATAAAATGTGCACAAGTTACAAATTACTAAAAAATTTTTCAAATTTACTTGACATTTGAATTACCATAATTAAAAAAAAAAAAAACATTGAAATTTTGCTTTTTGGTCAAAGCATATAAATGTAATTTTATTTATTGTATATATAAATGTATTTTTCGTGTATATACGTATAATAATTCTTTTTTATTTTTATTTATTTATTTTATTTATTTATTACTTTTTTTTTTTTTT